GGCAGCTTCTCTGATTGGTCGGTGCTGCTGCTCAAACAGCAGGTGCGTATTCTGAACATTACTCCTGGTTGTGTCATGGTTTCTGTATCCATTATGTGAAAGGGGACTGATAAAAAGAGTCACTTGTGTAGACAGACTTGTGTGTACAAGCAGAGACTCTTGTATTGTTCACAAGGATTTGCTAAGTGGTTGAGGAATGAACTCATAGCAGCATCCAGAGTTTCGGTTCCTACAATGATTTTCTTTTTCCTTTCCCTGTTGGCAGAGATGGACAAGAGAGATCTATTTCCCAGGTTGGCTTCACCTCCTGCTTTGCTTCCCATCAGTGTCCTGGGGCTTAGCTGGCTCGATCTACTTGGTAGCTTAGAACATTTACCTGCATCTGTGCTTTTGGCTGTGTCTGACCTTGAAAAGCTTCCCGCCCTCCCAGAATAAGACAGTAATTATCCTCAAAGCCAACTCCAATCCTACCTCCTCTTGTGGCCTTCCCAAAGATACCAACTGAAGTCATACTCTCTTTGACTTTCAGTACTTATTAGGGTTACTGTTTAAACTACTCAGGAGAATTGGTTGTTTGGGAATATTTTAGCTTATTATGTAATTGTATTTATGGTTATTTTCATGTGCATATGTGCAAATTTATTGAAATTTACAATTGTTAAAAATGGACCCTAACACTTAGAACACCAGCTGGCCTAAGTAGATGGATTGTTGTTCCAAGCTTGCAAGAGACGTTCTGATGCACGGAACATTCCCAGCAATCGGAATGTGAGCGCAGAGCTCAGTCTGCAGGATTTAGGGGGCCTGTAGCTTAAATTTTGTAAAGATCAATGCTGTAACTTTCTCATTTGCCTTCTCTTTTTCTCCCAACAAGTCCCAGAAAGCCAAGGAAGGGGTGGGTCCAGAGGAGGGGGAAGAACTTGGAAAACTGTAAAATACCAGGATTTCCTGAGGTGGCATTATGGGAGTGTTATGGGAAGGTGGGGGGGGGGGGACCAGAAGGAAAGGCCCGCAGAGGCGTGACCCAAAAGGAGATGACGCATGCCTCCTTTGTAATTTTGTGAAGGCTTCTAAATGTGGTGGCTTCAAACATGAAATATTTGATAACAAAACCTAATTATCAATTAGATTATGAAGTGACCTAGGAGCACAGCTGTGGTAGACAGAACAGTAACCCCTCCCCCCCAAGGTGCTCACATCCTAATCTCTAGGACCTGTGAATATGCAAAGGGTCTGTGCAGAGGTGATCAGGGTGAGGATCCTGACAGGGTAGGGAGATCAGCCTGCATCATCCCAGTTGGGATCAATGTAATCACAAAGGTCCTCTGGGGGGAAACAGGGATAGTCAGAGCTGTGCTGCAGGTTTTGAAGACAGGAAAGCACCCATGAGTGAAGAAATGCAGGAGCCTCTAGAAAAGGCTGGAAAAGACAAGGACACACATTACCCTCAGGAGCCCCCAGAAAGGAGCAGAGCCCTGTTGATCCATTGGTCTTAGCCCAATGAGAAGCACATCAGAAATTTGCCTCTGGAACTTTATCATAATAAGTGTGCACCACGTTCCAAGGAACCATGTGTGGGGTTGCTTGTTACAGCAGCCACAGGGGATGACACACATGTGGTGTATCACGCATTGAATGGGAGGGCCTAGGTGGTGCGCCCAACAGAAGCTGGGGAGCTCAGGGAAGGTTTCCCTATATACACAAAGTAGAGAAAGACTTTACAGAGCTAAGAGGAGGGAGCGAATGTCCTAGTCTGTGGAGTGGGGGGTAGGGGCAGGGAAATTAGAGCAAAAAAGGAAAGAGGTAAAAAACAAGAGTCAGGATCCGAAGCCGTCCAACCTTGCTGGGAAACAACAGGGCAAGAGGGGCAGAGGGAGGGATGGGAAGGGCGGGGGAGAGTGGAGCGACTTCTCTGCCCTGGGGAGGGTGTAGGCTTTAAAGCAGAGGTCAGGGGAGGCACTGAAGTGTTTTAAAGAATGGTGTGTGTGTGTGTGTGTGTGTGTGCATACACACACGTGTTAGAAGTTGGAATGACATAGAAAAGTTTGCATTTAAAATTGCATTCCCCTCCTCCCCACATACTCACTTTCCCTTTTAGAAAATCACCCCCAAATATAAATAAATAACAGTAATTTCAAATGTGAGCCCAGGTCTGAATGTCACAAGGCAGAGAGTCCTGGAATGCCACAACACAGGCTGTTAGACTTACAAACAGACCCTCTTTCACCGTGAGTGACAATTTGTAGGGTCCTGCGGGAGGGGAGACCATCAGCTGCTTTCTTTTGCACCCTAAATATCTCCTCTTTTTAGTGGAGTCAGTAGGAGGAGAGATTCATTTAATCAGGGCACAAAGGGTGGTTTGGAGATGTTAACCCACACCTTATCTATATCACATCCAACCATAGCCTTCTCCAAAATCATGTAAGAATAATAACTTTTTCTTGATATGGATAATTTTAAATGAAGTGTAAAGAGAAAGAGCTTTTTAAAATTTTAAATCATTTGTACATATATAAAAATAACAACAAAAAGCTATAGCTATTGCAAGAGAAATCCACCAACCTCTGCGACCCATCACTGGAATTTTAAATTAATGATGGTTTTTGAATTCTCTTGAGCATCACTGTGTAGGTTGTGAATCTCACTCCACATTCTACATGTTCCTGAATCTCTCCCACTCCCCCCCGACAAAAATTTATTAAAATTACTGTGGTACTAGTACCTTTGCAGAACTATAAAATTCGGTTACCATTTTTCATACTGATTAGAATTATCGCTGTCAATTAAAGTCTCCTCCTATCTCCCATAGAAAATGCCACAAACTCTCACCTTGACCTCTGATCTTGTCAATGTCTTCTGCTAGAACAGAATCCCACAGATGGGCCCTGAACTGGCTTAACCCGCAGCCATTTATTTCTCACACTACGGATGCCAAGCAGCCCAAGATGAAGGCACCCAGAGAGGCAGTGTCTGGTGAGGGCCCCTGCCTGGTTTGCAGATGGCTGCTGTTTCCCCATGTCCTTACATGACAGGGAGATGGCTTGTTTCTTATAAAGGCGCTAAAAGCTATTCACGAGGCTCCCTCTACTTCCTGGCCCGATTACCTCCCAATAACACTTTCACCATCACATTAGGGGGAGGGCTGCAGCACATGGATTGCAGTGGGGCACACACATTCAGTCCGTAGCACATAGGCTGGGAGTTAGGTATGAAATGTTTTCCTTTAACGCTTATGAACCTTAGTAAATCAGTCAAAAATCATTGAAAGAGAAAAAATGGGTTAGTTCTGTGGTTCTGGAGTACTCACTGGGCCACCCATCCTGTGTTCACTGGGCATAACCTGGGCTAATGGAAAAATAGAGTTCCTTCTCCAAGAAGGGTTAAGTCCAGGAAGAGAGGGGGAAGGGTCTCAGGAAACAGAGCAGCATCAAATACTGAGCAGGAACAACCATGCTCCAAAGGAGGGAATGTGGTGTTTACGGAACCAACTTGCAAACGCAAACCTGAGCATACCAAGGAGTGTCCTGTCGCAAAGGCCTCCAACAGCTGGGTCTCCTCAGTGCTTAAACGGGGAATAAACATCCAGGGTTATCTCTGGAACATGCTTTGTCTGTAAATACACATACATCTATTTAATAGAACCACAGGGATTAGTTAACAAAAAATTTTACCTAAGAATCATCAACTTTCACTTTTCCAGTTGGGTTTCAATCCACAAGTTAATCTGTTGGGGGAAAAAATTTCCCTCTGACTCGGGTGGGAATCAGCAATTGCAGGGTTCCCAGGGAGATTCTGAAAAGCCCCTGGATATTGAGGGATTTGGGCTGCAGTTTTCCAAATCTGTTAAATATGAGAGGGAGGGAAGGAGGAAATAATTTTTTTTTTCACGCCATCCTAAAAGTTCATGAACTTTCAAAGGGCCGCAGGAACTAAAGAGAAAGAGTTCTCAGTGGTCAAAGCTAGAACAATTTAAACAAAATAAATAATATACTATTGATATAAAATAAATATACACGGGCCCATACTTATATAAATAAATGATTGAGTTGGTAAATAAATGGGAGAGACAGAACAAATCCTCCTGACAGACTTATTCCAAACAATCATAGGAAGACACTCTTTCCTCTAAGGGTGGAGTTTAATTGACCGTCAGTCATTCAGCAAAAAGAATATAGAAAAAGAAAAACAGTAACAGCAGGAGAGAAACTGCCAGACACCCCTTTAACTAAGGGACTGAAGTCAGCCTCGGTCCTGTTGCGGCCAGGGACTCCCTGAGAGGTCACTTCACCTCTGTGACCTTCCTCCCCCCAAACCCACCACAGCCTCCATCTAATCAGGAGAACATTTTACAAAAGCAAAGGAAGGACATCACCAAACCGTCCCTCATCCCGGTGCTTCACGAAAATTCTGTCAATGCCAAAAACTGTCAATGCCAAGAAAAGACCAAGTATTTGTCACAGATCAGAGGAGACCGGACACTGAGCGCAGTGTGGTGTCCCGGATGGGACCCTCCGACAGGAAGATGGTAGGACAGCTAGCGCCACCCGCACGAAGTCTGGAGTTGAGGTGATAGTGACAGAGCGAGGCAAGTTTCTTAGTTTGGAGAAGTGTGCCACGGTTATGTAAGGCGTGAGAGTTAGGTGACACCTGCTGGGGGCGCATAGGGAACTCTTTGTACTCTCTTTGCCACTTTTTTGGTAAGTGTAAAGCTATTCCGAAATAAAAGTTTTATTAAAAACACTCTCAACAAAAGTTTATGAACTTAAGACGCAGACGGAACCTTTTTGAAAAGCAGCCGCTGCCAAGTTCCCTGCAGAGCGGCGCTCCACTTCGAGAGCGCGGGCGGGCGCGTCGGGCCGCAGCCGAGCCCGCTCCCCCCGAGTCTCCCGGGAGCCGGACTCTGGCCCCGGCGCGCCCACGGGGAGGAGCCAGACCTGCGGGCGGCGGCGACTGCACAGCCCCGGGAGCCGGCCCGGCCCGAGGCCCAAGCGCCAGGGGGAGGAGCAGCACCCGGATCCCGCTCTGGCTCAGCGATCCCCAAGGTAGGCGAGTCTGGGACCCCGCGGGCCGGGTCCCTGCGGGTAGCGCCAGGTCTCCCCCGCCAGGTGTGCGTGTGTGGGGTGTCCAGGTGCCCTTGGAGCCGGCTTCCCCTGCGGAGCTCAAGACACCAAAGTCATTTCCTGTAACAGGGTCCTCCATGGAAAGGGTCTTCGTCCCTGGAAACGTATGTTTTGGGCTTCTTAGGACAGAAGTTACTTTTTCTCCGGAAAGAGAAGGAGTTGCCTTTCCTGGAGAAAAGGGCCTTTCATTAGCCGGGCTCATGGCTGATTATTTATTTAGCCTGCTGTTATATGATCCCTTTGCCAGGGGTCCCAGCGATTTCTGCTTGCTAATTTCAGGGAAGTGGGAAAGCCTTCCGGAAAACGCTGTCACCTGTTAAACTTCAGTGGGGCGGCTGTAACAGGCCACTAAGCACGCCAATATTTATGAGCAAAGATGAATGAAGGTGGTTTTCTCGCCCTTCATTCATTCTGTGGGCTTCTGCAGCTGAGGATCTAGCCCAAGGCCTGACAGCGCCCTGGGGTTCCTGCAGAGTGGCTATCAGGGGACTTGGAGCTGGAAAGGACAGAGCCCCGGGCAGCTTTCCTGCTTACTAAATGGCGAATACAGGAGAGGAGAAGTGTATTCTTCAGACTGGATGATGACATAGCTGCACATTTTCCACCTTTCTCGAAAGGAAAACAAAAATGGTTTTTGAATATAAGGATCAGAACAAGGAACCAGCCTCAAACGTAACTGAAGCTGTGTTTGTTCCTCGTTCTATCATAGTTGTTTTATTTTAGGAATCAAAACCTCTTTTATTCTTAGTGTATATAGATTAGACAAAGTGTCAAAATACAGAAGGGAATTATTCTGCCTATGCAATAGGGAAAAGATAATCCGTCCTTTTGATTTTACCCAATGCTATTAAATATTCAGCTCTCCAGAAGTCTGGTTTTCCAGAAATTTGAGCTGGGCAGGAGTGTCAGGTACCCTGGCAGACACAATTGGTGCTGTTGTTAAGCTGTGGCTGGCCTGGCCCCTCCTTCTCCCCCTGCTCTCCCAGTTAGAGTAAGAAGGCCCCTTTCAGGAATGTCTGCCTGAGGCAGGGAGAATCCTTGGGTGGCTCCTCAGCTATGTGTGTGTGTGGGGTGGGGTGGGGTGGGTGGGAAGGATGAAACCAGGTTATACTTCCTGGGACCTAGATGAATGTCAAAAGGAGATTCTTACCCTTTATTATTTATGAAATAAATTGATTCCTAACTAGAAAGACAATTTGAAAATAAATGCAGATGTCATTCTGAGATTTAAAAACAGTCATGTCATCTTAGTGATTCGCAAAAAGTGCTCAGTGGTGGACGTGAGTTGTAACCCAAATTTTGGCCAAAGCTAAAAAAATGTAAACTAGCTTTGTACAAAACTGAAAACTAAGGTGTGTATTTGTGTGGAATAATAACTGAAAAAGGAAAGGATTGAAGATTTGGAGGGAATTTAAAAGTCTTTTAAAGTAGTGGCTTTAAATCTTTTGAACTGAGACATTTATATCAAAATTGTATGGCTTTTTTTTTTGAGACAGAGTCTCAAGCTGTCACCCTGGGTAGAATGCTGTGATGTCATAGCTCACAGCAGCCTCCAACTCCGACTCAAGCGATTTTCTTGCCTCAGTTTTTCTATTTTTAGTAGAGACACGGTCTCGCTTCTGCTCAGGTTGGTCTTGAACTCATAAGTTCAGGAAATCCACCTGCCTCAGCCTCCTATAGTGCTAGGATTACAAGCATGAGCCACTGCGCCCAACCTGTATGGCCCTTTTTTGATTGAACACATCTCATAAGGGTAAAATTGTACTATGAATTTAGAAACATGTTTAAATGAATTTCATTTTACTAAGCACAAAAGTAGTCATTTACATAGGCATGCACGCACATGTGTGAGACTCTGTGTGTGTACATACATTCAGTTTTAGAAAAGACAGGATGCATCTGTACGTGTGTAGGCCTAATCACTCATTCATCCAACCAGTATTTATTGAGTGCTTTTATGGGGCACTGTGGCTTACAGCCCTGTGTAAATAAGACACATCCCTAAGAAGAAGAAAAAAAAGACACATCCCTGTCCTCTTGGAATTTATACAACATTGGAGTCCTCCAGGGCACCTAAGACCGCAGATCAGGAACCATATTGATGACTCACCTATCAGTTTTGATAGTGCCTGAAACCAGAATAATTGCAAATTACATACTCCTTAAACCAGTGTTCTCAAGCTTCGGGTTGTGGCCCCTTTGGGGTTCAAATGACCCTTTCACTAGGGTCACCTAAATACATCCTGCATATCAGATATTTACATAACGATTCATAACAGTAGCAAAATTACAGTTATGAAGTAGCAACGAAAATAATTTTACGGTTGGGGTTCACCACAGCATGAGGAACTGAATTAAAGGGTCACGGCATTAGGAAGGTTGAGAACCACTGCTAAACTGACATAAATAGCCAAATCTAAAAATTATAAAAGAACTTGCATGTTACTCTGGTCAGTAGTTTTTTATTTAGGTTTGGAAAGCATTTAGACATCATTTGTTCTAGGTTTAAGTGTTTAATATTATGAAATAGTAAACCAAAAATCGCTAAGTCTCAATTTCATGCAAATTAAATTCAAAGTACGTTAGCAGCATAGATACCAATAATCTAGGGGAAAAATATTTAACATTGAGAAAATGTAGCCATCATTTTTTTCCCCTGTCAATTAGAAAATATGACTACAATTATATTTTCCTCTGGAAGGAAAAGACATTCAAGTTATTCTTACCCTTTATTCATTTTTTTAAAAAAACAGCTTTATTGGATGTATCATTTACATACCATAAAATCCATCCAAGGGTATAATTCGATGATTTTTAATAAATTTATGGCATTGTGCAAGTCTCACCACCGTCCAATTTGAGATCATTCCCCAAACATCCCTGTGTCTGTTCGCAGTTTCTACCCAGACAATACCTGGTCTTTAGCGTCTGGCTTCTTCACATTTATTCTAATAAAGTTTCTGAGGTTTCTCTATAGTTGGTTCACTTTTATTGCTAATTACCACTTATTCCTTTCCATGGTTATACCACATTTTGTCCACCAGTTGGTGGACCTTTCTGCGGTTACTTATAAACAATAAGACAGATGTGGTGTGCAGTGGCTCAGGCCTGTAATCTTAGCACTCTGGGAGGCCAAGGTGTATGGATTGCCTGAGCTCACAGGTTCAAAATCAGCCTGAGCAAGTGTGAGACCCGTCTCTTAAAAAAATAGCTGGGCATTGTGGCAGGTGCCTGCAGTCCTAGCTACTCAGGAGGCTGAGACAAGAGAATTGCTTGAGCCCAAGAGTTTGAGGTCGCTGTGAGCTGTGATGCCACTGCACTCTCTGCTGTGATGCCACGGCACTTTCTGCTGCACATAAGCCACCCAGTCTATAGGACTTTGTTATAGCAGGAGACATGGATGCAGATTCAGACAAGAGAGCAGCCCTGAGGGTAGAGATGAAGCAGAGAAAAGGAGATGGGGGATGGTGGAGATGCAAGAGGAAATAAAGACAGAATGTTGGAACCAGACAGAGAAACGAGTCAAGGTGATGGATGCCCTTGGTGGGTGGAAGGGCTGTTTCCTCAGCCTGGGGTCATGAGGGGGAAGTCCAGCAGTAGCCCTGTTGAGCATGAGGAAGGAGGACAACTTATAACCTTGAAAAACTTACATCCTTCTCTGGATCTTATTGAGTGTTATATATGTATGCTGATGATAGTAACTGGAGTAGAGTGTTGTAATGATTAATTCTGATAATATATGAAAAATATTTTTTGTGAATGGCACAGTGCTTTGTCAATAGTGTGGTATATTTGCACATTGTGTTTGCACCAATATTTTAATCCCCCCCTTTTATCTCATTTCTAAGAGTTTGCTGTAGCACTGGCTGTGATAGAAACACATATGCATGTACAAATGAATGGCACATAACTGAGTAACATTAACCATACTTAGCAAGAGCTTAGAGTATTACTTGCAATTTGAACTAGGGTACAGTGTGGCCAGGCATGTCTCTGGTGGACTGTGCATCACTTTCAGGTAAGCTATGCAGTCACCTGAGATTTAGCCAGCTGACACTGGATGTCACCATTGTGCTGCGTAATGTATCTATAGAACAGGTGTGCTAGTTAATATTCAGGACGTGCTTTGTCTCTTCAAGGGCTTGGAGAAGGCTTTTTTCCGCTCATAGATCCTTGTGACTTTATGTTGTAACATTTTCAGTTTCTAATGTCTAAGGTCTACATAAAGGGGATCAAAATGGAAGAAACAGTATTGTTAGGTTAAAACTGAGAAACTAAACATGGAAAACTCAGAAACTCTGGTAAAACCAAGCAGGGCACTTGGTTGCAAACCAGAGTCATGGACTCTGATTTAGCAGAAAGGGAGTTTTCCTGGGAGAATGTGAGGCAACCACCAGAATGGATGGGAATATTGGAAACTAAGTTTGGGAAAATGGGAAGATCCCACGTGTTGGACCTCAGCGAGCTTAGCCTGTAGGAAGAGCAGGCTGGGGGCTTTCTGGGCCACTGGCCACTGGATACTATCACTGACTTTTCTGCCACTGGACACAAAAGCACCCCTCTGTTCCAGGCTCTTTTCCTCCCCTGGATAATAAGTGGGTTTTCACCACCTCCAGCTCCAACAAGCCAGACGCCTGGTCCCTACATTGCATTTCCAGGGGAAGCACTAGGTTGGCCGAGTCTAAGGCATGTCCCTGTGCTCTAGCTCAGGGAATGAGGATGAATAAGCAAGAGACAAATGGTGCTTCTGTGTATCCAGGAGGGAGATTCAGGCCCTAGAGAGCCAACCCATGTCGCCAACCCATGCGACATCCACCATGGTGCTTTCAGTCTGAGCCCTGCAGAGCTGAGAGTTGGGAACACCTCTGTGTACTCAGTAGACTTAACTGCCCCTTGTCTGAGGTGACCCAGACTCAGTTGCT